AAAATCCCAGAAATACAATTAATAAGACTTCCAAAAGTCTCTGACGCTATGATAGCTTTAGAACATAAAAAATCAGATTTTTTTATCCCCAAGCAACGACCAGCTTCAATTTGACCTTTATCGACAGATTTAATGCCAGAACGAATTACCTGGCTTATATAGGCACAACTATTAAGTCCTATTGAAAGTATGGCAGTTGCAAACGCTGATATGTTTATACCAAATTGAGGTAACATGATATACATAAACATAATCTGTAAAAGCATAGGAGTGCCTCGTATAATAGTTACATATATCATTAATAAAGCGTTTAAAAATTTATTGGCGCTCATTTGGAGAAGGGCTATAATAGTGCCACCAATAAATCCTATAGATGCAGATAAAAACGCTATTGCGAGTGTTTTGCCTGCTGCTAAAATAAGCTGCGGTAATGCTTGAGCTAGTAAATTATAATCTATCATTGGATCCTAATTTTTTTTCTATTTCATCTTCCATTTTGACTTAAGAGCTTTTAGGGTACCATCGTTTTCCATTTCATCCAAAGTTGATTGAATTTTAGCAAAAAGCTCATCAGATAACTTTTTAGATATTCCTAATGCTGATGTTTCACTAGTACCTTCAATAGTGGCTACATTAAATTTATTGTTAGCAAGATTGGATCCTATTTGCAAGTTGTAAGGTTCTAACGTTAAATTTGCGGTAACAAAAGCATCTGCTTTTTTATGTTCTAAAGCTATCATAGCGTCAGAGACTTTTGGAAGTCTTATTAATTGTATTTCTGGGATTTTAGATAAGTAGCTATCAGAAACATAGCCAGTATTAACTATAACAGATTTTCCTTTTAAATCTTGTGTAGTTTGAATCGCAGGTTGTTGATCTTTGCGAGTTACGATAACTAATGGATTTTCTTGGAGATAGGATTTAGTGAATCGTACATTTTTTTCACGTTCTGGGCTGGGTGTCATGCCTGCAGCTATCGCATCAATTTGACCGATTTGGATTTGGGGTATAAGCATCGAAAATGGTCGATCTATTAATTCGATTTTTAAATTTAGTCTTTTACCGATTTCTTTTATTACATCTATATCAAAACCAGCGATCTCATCATTTGTATCTCTAAAAGAAAAGGGAGGAAAATCTGCACAAGTTCCTACCTTTAATATAGGAGGGATAGTGGCTGAATTGAGAGATTGTCTGTTAGATGTTAATTTTTTATTGAGAATGATGCCAGATATTACGATAAAAAATAAGGCAATAAGCGAAAATAAGATATTTCTATTCATGAAGGTCCTTAAAGCATTTTTATTGTTTCAAAAAGTTTAGTATAATTTGGACGGTTTAGTATTAAAAAAATTATAAACCATTAAAACTTGTCATGCAAATTTATAATTAGGAGATAATATGAAAATTCTTTTACCAGTAAATTCTGGTGCAAAGAAGAGGCTGCTTTATATTTTGATTGCGGCATTCTCTTTTGGCACCGTGAAGGCGGCTGTGCATGAAAATGTAGCATATTTTCTTGCCGCTGGCGTCGGAGTATCAGCGGTATGGGCTTTATATGAAAGAATGAGCAAGAATGGTTTAAAAAAAGAAGCAGATCTACTTCAAGGTGAAGTCAATTCATATAAATCTGGTGAACATATAAAAGAATATTGGGCCAATACTTTAAGTGCAGTAACCATCTGGGAAAAATTTTTGGAAGACTTCAAGAATGTGGTTAATTCAAATAAGACTCAGGGTGAACTAGCTGAATATCTGATCAATAGTATTATAGGTCAAGCCAAGCATTATAATCTAACTATAGATGAATTGAGACAAAAAATTGCCAAAGGCATAAGCGATTTAGATACTAGAGTTAATACGTTATCTGCTCAAAGAGAATGTATGAAGCCAAGATCAGCATTATTGGATCTCGTGGAAAAAGCTTTAGAAAGAACCGCTCTTAATTTGAGACATTTAAATGAATATGCTGCTTTTCTTGAAGAGCAAAAAGCTTATGTGGAACTTTTGTCATTTATTGAACAAGGACTCGAGCAAGAATATGCTAAAGAAATAGAATATTCCCACGTTGAGATTGCTTATCGAGATAAAGCTATTGATCAAATCATAAAAACAAAAAGTAATCAAGTTTTATTCCCTTACTTATTTTATGCACAAGATTTGAAATTTAAGGTAGATAAATTATCCAAACTTTTAAATAACCTATCTGGCTTTAAATCATATCCATTCCAAGAAAATCCATTAGTTATCGTAACTCGCAAAGATCAACAACCTGCGATTCAAACTACACAAGATTTAAAAGGAAAATCTGTTATA